CTCCACTGGCTCCCGGTAAAATATAGAATTCAGTTTAAAGTTTTAGTCCTGACCTACAGAGCTCTTAACAACCAGGCTCCAAGCTACCTATCTGAGCTTTTATCCCCACACACCACCTCTCGGAACCTTAGATCCACATCTGAAAACCTCCTGGTTGTTCCTCGAACCAGACTGAAAACCAAAGGGGACAGGGCCTTTCAGACTATTGCACCCAGACTTTGGAACAGTCTACCTTCAAATCTCAGTCTCTCTAACACTGTAGAGGTCTTTAAAAATCATCTAAAAACTCACCTTTTCATCCAGGCGTTCCCTCCCTAAATGTTTCAGAATGATGGCTTTGTTCGGGTTCACACCTTCACTTTGTTTATACTCATGATTTAATTTTCTACTTAATCACTGCTATTGTTTTTCTGATGTTTTTATTGGTTAGAGGTATTTGCCCTGATCTTTATCATGTTGTACAGCGCTTTGTGATTTATATCTGTGAAAGGCGCTCTATAAATGAACTTTTACTTACTTACTTACTTACTTACTTACATGGGAGGAGTATGGTGAGACCATGGAGCAAGACTTCTGTATGGCTTCGAGGAGATTCTGGTCCACCATCCGGCGCCTCAGGGGGGAAAGCAGTGTGCTACCAACACTATCTATAGTGGGGAAGGTGTGCTGCTGACCTCTAATCAGGACGTTGTGGATCGGTGGGCAGAATACTTCGAAGACCTCCTCAATCCCACCAACACGTCTTCCAGTGACGAAGCAGTCTGGGGACTTTGGGTTGGCCTCTCAAATCTCTGGTGCTGAGGTCACTGAGGTGGTTGAAAAGCTCCTCTGTGGCAAGGCTCCAGGGGTGGATCAGATCCGCCTGGAGTTCCTTAAGGCTCTGGATGTTGTGGGGCTGTGTTGGCTGACGCGGCTCTGCAATATCGCGTGGACATCGGTGGCAGTCGCACTGGACTGGCAGACCGGGGTGGTGGTCCCCTTATTTAAAAAGGGGGACTGCAGGGTGTGTTCTAACCAAGCCCCCACAATGCGGGTGAAAAATTGAGGCCAACGCGGAAGTGACAAAAATTGCAGTTCCACCCTCATCCACTAGGGGCTGGTGTCAGAAGCGAGCAAATCCTCATTGACTCCCATGTTAAAAATACCAATTTGACAGCAGAAATAAACATGTTTACAGCCTGGTACCAGAACATGTTTTAGGTTTAAATGATCTAGTTTACACTCATGACAACTCTGAGGGGGGTAAATGTTTTTCTCACTCTTTTGTTTAAGTGTATTAAAAGCCTAAAATTCTGTATAATTAATGAGCATCCGACCCACGTGACCACAGAGCTAGCTCCGGGGAAAGGCCTCAGTAGAGCCTCGGTCTGGCCTGGAAACTGCTCCGGGATTTACAGTCTCTGTGTGTGTGTATTCTTGTTTGGATATTATTTGTGCAATTGTTGGACAAAATGACTTGCTGTGGCATTAATTGCACTAATAGAGCGTCCAAGGAGTCTCCACTTCATTTTTTTCGGTAAGTAAAATTATATTTATGTATTTTAGGTCACTGCCGAGCTGAGCTTAGATTTTAACATGTACTGTTTAACCATGAAATTTAAATGTAATAGGGTAAAACCCAGTGCATTTAACATGATGCTGCACTTTAGAACATGGGTTGAAATATAACATGTTGGTGGAGCTGGGTTCCCACTATCGGCTTGTGGAGCTCTCGGAGACCTCTGTGTTCCACCCGGTTCTCCCCAGCGGTCAGCCCGGCGTATCTCTGACTCAGAAGCTCTGGTGTTGTGCACAGTTAACTCCGGTTGTAGCTAGGTTGCTACCTCTGTTAGCTTAGCTCCCACCTCCGCATTAGCTTTGGGTTAGCTTCAGGTTAGCTTGTAGCTAGTTCGACCGGGTGTCGTCAGTTGATCCCAGCCTTACAGCCCCACCCTCAGCTCCTCCTCTCTTCCCTTTTATGGAATTGTCTGGGCTTGACGGAACCTGTGACACGGTCAAAATGGCGGTGGTGGCCACCTCCCATTTATCTTCAAAAACGTGTTATTGGAGCCTATGGAAACCCATTGTCCAATATTTATATGTCGATTGTTCCAACTACAGGGGGATCACACTCGTGAGCCTTCCTGGTAAGGTCTATTCAGGAGTTCTGGAGAGGAGGGTCCATCGGATTGTTGAAACTCAGATTCAGAAGGAGCAATGTGGTTTTGGTCCTGGCCGTGGAACACTGGACCAGCTCTATACCCTTAGGGGGATCCTGGAGGGTGCGTGGGAATTTGCCCAACCAGTCTACATGTGTTTTGTGGATTTGGAGAAGGTGTTTGACCGCGTCCCTCGGGGGGCCCTGTGGGGGGTACTCTGGGAGTATGGGGTACCAGACCCTCTGATACGGGCTGTTAGGTCCCTGTATGACCGGTGTCAGAGTTTGGTCCGCATTGCCGGCAGTAAGTCGGGCTCGTTCCCAGTGAGAGTTGGACTCCGCCAAGGCTGCCCTTTGTCACCGATTCTGTTCATAACCTTTATGGACAGGATTTCTAGGAGCAGCCAAGGTGTGGAGGGAGTCCGTTTTGGTGGCCTGAGGATCAGGTCTCTGCTTTTTGCAGATGATGTGGTCCTGTTGGCTTCATCAGAACATGATCTTCAGCTTTTGCTGGAGCGGTTCGCAGCCGAGTGTGAAGCAGCTGGGATGAGAATCAGCTCCTCTAAATCTGAGACTATGGTCTTGGGTCAGAAAAGGGTAGAATGCCTTCTCCGGGTCAGGGATGAGGTCCTGCCCCAAGTGGAGGAGTTTAAGTATTTGGGGTCTTGTTCACGAGTGAGGGAAAACTGGAGCGTGAGATCGATAGGCGGATTGGTGCTGCATCTGCAGTGATGCGGGCGTTGTACCGGTCTGTCGTGGTGAAGAGAGAGCTGAGTCAGAAGACGAAGCTCTCGATTTACCGGTCGATCTACGTTCCTACCCTCACCTATGGTCATGAGCTTTGGGTAGTGACCGAAAGAACAAGATCACGGACACAAGCGGCCGAAATGAGTTTTCTCCGCAGAGTGGCTGGGCTCACCCTTAGAGATAGGGTGAGAAGGTTGGTCATCCGGGAGGGGCTCGGAGTAGACCCGCTGCTCCTCCAGATCAAGAGGAGCCAGTTGAGATGGCTCGGGCTTCTGGTCAGGATGCCTCCTGGATGCCTCCCTGGTGAGGTTTTCCGGGCACGTCCAACCGGGAGGAGACCTAAAGGTAGACCCAGGACACGGTGGAGGGACTATGTCTCTCACCTGGCCAGGGAACATCTTGGGATTCCCCCAGAGGAGCTGGCCCAAGTGGCTGGGGAGAGGGAAGTCTGGGCCTCTCGCCTTAGGCTGCTGCTCCTGCGACCCGACCCCGGATAAGCGGATGAAAATGGATCTCTCTCTCTCTCTCTCTCTCTCTCTCTCTCTCTCTCTCTCTCTCTCTCTCTCTCTCTCTCTCTCTTTGTGTGTGTGCGTGTGTGTGAATGCAGACAAATGCGTGTGTCTCACACTCAGTACATGACAGTTGGTAGCCCTGAAAAACAGCTAGCTGGAGACGTCACCCCACATGATTTAGAAATGCAAATATAAAGTTTCTGCTATCCTGCAGGGATTCCCTAAGTGTGGTGCGCGCACCCCTGGGGGTGCACGAGCTGCCGCTAGGGGTGCGCAAGGTGAAAAGTGTAATGGCTGCGGAGCTCAGAGAAGTCTGTCACATGTCACCATTAGCGTAGCCAGAAACTCATTTGTGGGTGGGCCTAAGAAAAAGTTGCAGCTCTTCCTTCAGATTTAAAGAGACAGTACCAAACGGCTCATTTTTCCAGCTACAAAGACGGGGCTTGCGGGCCTTTTGAGCACCACTGTTTTGGATCAGGTGCACAGCTGCATAGCCGTCCTGAGGGACGAGTCACTCCTGTAGACACGAAGGATGGCTGGGAGACATTTCAGCAGTTAAGCCTGATTTATTCTTCTCCATCTGACTTGGTGCAAGGACTCTGACAGGCTCAGAGGGGGTGGCGGACATGTGCTCAAAACTGTAAACATCCGCCGAAGGTGACGGAGACCGCAAGCTTGTGATTGGTCAGGACCCTGCTTTCTGTACGTTTGTCACCGGCACCCCCATCGCCTCCTTAAAAAGTAAAAAGACATTTAGCGGCAGATCCAGAACAGATTGAAGAACGTATCGTGGAATGTTTATTCACCTGGCACTGAAGGAGTACACAATACGGAGCAAATGTGGACGGGAACAACGGGAAACGTGGGTTTAGACACGGTGAATGCAGGAAGAGGTGGGGGGGAGAACGTCTCAGAAATAAATAAACACGAGTAAATACCCCATCGTGGGCCAGATACATGAGTGTTATGGTGGGACGATGCCACCGAACAGCACTACGCCCTCGGTAGTCCTGGTGGGAATCGTCTTGCAGCACTCCGCCGCCTGCGCTGAAGTTCGGATGTGAAAACCTTTCAGACACGCCGTGCGGGTCTGAAAGGTTAGGCCGTTACAAAGAGAAACTCACAGCAAGGAGAAAGGTTTGCTTGCGGTTCCACAAACAGACGCTAAGGGGTGCTAAAAACTGATCATGACTGCTGATTTATTTACCCTGTCGGTCAACCCGACAGTAATCTGCTCAGGACTTGCACCTGGGGGTGGAGTCGAGACTGGAGGTGTACTGACTCGTACTGCTCCTGTGTCCGTTTCCCTCGGAGGAACACGTTTTGTTCTCAGTGTCTGTAAAACATCAACATAAGGACTTTCTGAGGGTGGTTTTACTCCCGTTCCTGTTTTAGCGATGACGTTGTTGACGACGTGTCTGTTTATAAACATCCAAGCCAACACACACAGCTGAAACATGAGCACTTCATCAATATAGCTCACAGCCGCACGTGTGTGTGCTGCCTCACATTACTGGGCAACTGGACAGCATCATGAGGGAGAGACACGGGGTGAGAGAGCATCCCGTCAGGATAGGGAGAGAGAACGGGGACGGGGGAGGGTGGCATTTGCTGCAGGCAGATCAGGAAAGAAGAAACCTGATGAAGAGCAGCGAGGGGAGGAAGAGCAGCTTTTCTCCGTGGATGAAACCTCTGTGTGATCATTTGGACATCCATGAGGAGCTAAAAGGACCATCTACTCCCCGAGGACTCAGGTGTGTGGTTAAAGTCAGGGCGGCCGCAGGATGACCGTCACCTACTCCAGTAAAGTCGCCAACGCCACCTTCCTCAGTTTCCACCGGCTGCTGCTCCGCTGGAGGGGGAGCATCTACAAGCTGCTGTACCGGGAATTCATCCTGTTTACTCTGATGTACACGGCCCTTAGTGTGGTCTACAGGTATCACACACTCACACACACACACACACACTCACACACACACACTCACACACACACACACACACACACTCACACACACACACACACACACACACACACACACACACACTCACACACACACGCACACACTCACACTCACTCACACTCACGCACACACACACACACACACACACACACACACACACACACTCACACACACACGCACACACTCACACTCACTCACACTCACGCACACACACACACACACACACACACACACACTCACACACACACACACACACACACTCACACACACACACACGGGTAAATAAGGTAAAAACCAGGAACGCTGCTGTCGGATCCCTCAGATGTGTGAATCCAAACATCCAAGATTCCACAAAGATCGGAGCGTCGGGATCATCACTCATTCCACATTAGTAGGAACTTTTTGCTCTTGTTGGTGCGTGTTTCTGTGTAAGCATCATTACATTCTCATCTGACCTGATCCAGAAGGTTCAAATGAAGGCACTAAGTCAGGACTGATGAGCTAACGGCTAGTCGAGGCTGACGCCCATCCAAGTGCAGCCCAGTGTGTTGCTGCCATCTCCAAACGGCCGTGCGTGTTTACACCGTTCACATGACACAGTGTAAGGAAAGCCGTTCATGAAAAAAACGTCTGTTTCAGCAGAACAGCTTCCTGCCGGACCCGAGCCCTGGAGCAAGTGCGTTTAGCTGCCGTCGGTTAAAGGTTTTACAAGAATGTTGTAAGAAGAGCTGGAGAGGAGCTCAGAAACGGCAGCAACACACTTCACCAGCTGCTAGAGGGAAGGCGGACCTGTTCCTAACATCCACTCAGGCCCACACGGCTGAAACGTTCCTTCAGCAGGCCGGACAAAAATATTTCAGTGTAACGACACAATACATCCCGGTTATGAAGTCTTCATTTAAAAACCTTTGCCCTCGTTCAGAAACACCAAAATGTGTCTAAAATCGTCGTCCGTCACCTGTGAGATGCATCTACAGGTCCGGACGTGGACGGCTGCGGCTCTGACACTCGTGTGCTCTCACCTCCAGGTTCCTCCTCGCTGAAGAGCAGAAGAGATTGTTCGAGAAGCTTTCGCTGTACTGCGACAGATACGCCGAGCAGATCCCCGTCACCTTCGTGCTGGGTACGCTAGACGACTCCTTTACCTCCCTCCATTAGAGTCACTGGTTTCAGGTCATAACTCAGTTTCCAGTCATTCTTTCAGCTATTCGTGTGATTGTTGTTGTGCTTCCCCTCTCGTGGCTGAAGATGATCACTGCTGCAGCTTTCATGAGTCAGAGGACTCCAAAGTGCTTTACACTACAGAGAACCCTTCATCCAGTCACACACTGGTGGTGATGAGCCACAACGTAGCCACAGGGACCCGGGGCCCTCCAACCACTACCAGCAGGACAGGAGGGCGATGTGCCTTGCCCAAGGACACAACGGCTGACACGGGTGGAGCCTGGGTTCAAACCCCCCAACCCACCAGTTACAGGTCATCCACCAGCCTGTTGGTGGCGCTGTTCACTCCCTTTGTACCATAAATACACAAACAGCAAAGCAGGAAGCTGTGGTCCAGGAGAAGGCCGCGTTCGGAAAGCTGGAAAAGAGCCGGATCTCTCTAAACTTCAGTAAGGAGCGAAAAAGTGAAAAGTCAAAAGTTTGAGTTGAAAAGAAACAAATAAACTAAAATATGTGTCAACACAGAATGAGTGGGTGAACAGTCCAGTTGTGTTTCCCGTCGGAGGAGGCGGGCATGATGAGGTCCGTCCCGGTTTAGAGGTTGCTAATGGAAACCAATCATTAAAGAGGAGAGAAGACCAGAAGCAGGATGAATCCAGTCTGTCACACGGATCAGAAACAAGCTGGATAAAACAGTTCAATGATGAAATCACCAGGAAAAACATCCAAACACCAACGTTTTCCTTTAAATCCAACAACACCTGGTCTGCTGCGGCCGAGCCCAGAACCGACATTTAAGCTCTTTTATTTAAAAACTAAAGTCTGGAACTCCTGAACAGCTTTTCTGTTCCTGTTTCAGGATTTTATGTGACTTTAGTGGTGAATCGTTGGTGGAATCAGTTCGTTAACCTCCCCTGGACCGACAGACTCATGCTCCTCATCTCCAGGTAAGCAGACGAGGAACTACAGGAACTTCGCTTTTAAAACAGACTCTAGAGCTTTTATTTCATTGTTCTTTCTGTTCTTTGTGAGTATTGATCAGTGAAAGGTTAGCGTAGCCTGCACCGCCCCCTGGTGGCCACTTCTCCCTGAAAACAAATGCAGGTTCTCATGGGGTCAAAGATCACTTAAACCTTCTAAACGTTTGGTTCCGACTTCTCCACCTCCTACAGCTGTGTTCACGGCAAAGACGAATATGGCCGCCTCCTGCGAAGGACGCTAGTGCGCTACGTGAACCTGGCGTCGCTCCTGATCTTTCGCTCCGTTAGCACGGCTGTCTGCAAACGCTTCCCGACCATCGACCACGTGGTTGAAGCAGGTGAACGTTTTAGGAGCTCGGTGTGCTCCGTGTGTTTGTTCTGGTCCAGTAAAGCTCAGACTGGGTGCAGCTTCCTTCCTGTAAACGGCTGCTGTGACATTAGGGATTGGCTCATTATCGGCCAATTAGATCAGGCCAGATGGAATTAGGAGATGAAAGCCCGAGCAGCAAAGCAAACAGCTGCTGGTCTGGGGCAAAGGAGAAACGTGATTCATGCACACGTTTATGGCTGAGCCTGATCGTGGAAACTCGTTTTTAATGAAGCGTTTCTCCTCCTGCAGGTTTCATGACTCCTGAGGAGAGGAAGGTGTTTGAGGACATACGTTCTCCTCATCTGAAGTACTGGATACCGGTTGTCTGGTTCTCCAACCTGGCAAGTAAAGCTCGGCAGGAAGGACGCATCCAGGACAGCATCGACCTGCAGAGCATCCTCAATGTGGGATTTTCACCAGCAACTTTTTCCCCAGAGCTGTATTGTGTGTTGGCAGTATGAGTGTTGGAAAACCGACCTCTACACCGTTAGCGAGCAGAGCGATGCAGTCGTTACTGGAGCTGATTTTTTTACAGCCTAGTGAACCAGACCAAATTCTTGCTTTATGTCGTTTAAATAATTATTTATTTAGTCAGAATAGTCAGACTACGGTTTCTATTCATGCATTCATAAAACTGCAAAAACAGAAGAAAGAACTTTGAAAAAATCTGACATCGACTCATGAATTCAGCCGGTCTTTGATTTATGTTTATAGAAAATAACAGAGGGCCAAGCAGCGAGCCCTGAGGTACACCAACAGGAACATCCACACGGTTTCCTGAAACCTAAATGTGATTTTATCCACTGAACTCGTTCAAAGACAAATGAAAATGATTTAATGAACTTCGCGATTTTCCGTTTTTATTAAAGAAGCCGTAATTCATTCATATGAAGGAAAAAAGGAAAAAGTTTGTTTTTTACTTCAGTTAAAGACCTAAAACTGTTGCTTTAGCGGACATTCTGGTTTTATCTGCATGTAAAGGCGAGTCCACAGCCCAGCAGCGGCAGGGACACACAGAATTGTGGGGCAACGTGACTCTCCGTGTGCTCCCAGGATGGATGGCGGTGGTTTTCCATTTAACGTATTGAGTTACAGAAATCCAGAGCTGGAGGCAAACGGCTGTTTCCTCTCTCTGCTCAGGAGATGAATGTGTTCAGGACGTGGTGTGCGACTCTTTTTGGCTACGACTGGGTGGGCATCCCGCTGGTTTACACTCAGGTCAGTCCTGGAGTTTGAAACGGACGCAGCTCGTTTCACGTGGCCAGCCTTAGTCGCAGTAATCAGATCAGAGCTCCGGATGGATGTGAAATCTGCTTCTCCGTCTTCAGGTCGTCACTCTGGCCGTCTACACATTCTTCTTCGCTTGTCTGATTGGTCGCCAGTTTCTGGACCCTGCCCAAGGTCACCCGGGTCACGACCTCGACCTTTACATCCCCATCTTCACTCTGTTGCAGTTTTTCTTCTACTGCGGCTGGCTCAAGGTCAGGTTAGATGTCTGTAAATAACTGCTGCTGTAGACCGCTCCCGAACAGCCTCAGTTCAGAGAAGTAGAGTTTGACCAAGGTGTTCGTTAGTAGGAGCACACACACACACACACACACACACAGCACACACACACACACACACACACACACACACATTCTTTTATTGTGTTTCCCATCTGAATATCTGCGAACTAAAAGGCTCGTTAGCTTTCCTCCACTGAAGTTGGCTAAACCGGACGGTTCATCGGTGATGACGTTTACGATAACTAACAACCTGATTGGATCAGCGGATTTCCCAGCATGCTTTGTCCTTCTGTAAACGTTGAAAATCACATACACGAGTTTTCTGTCAGTTTGCTGGCAGCTAAAGCGACTCCATCATTACTAAACCAACAAAAGCAAACAGGCAGGAAATGACGATGCTCTGATCACGTCCCGTTTGGGTTTAAGTAAATCTGGTGTGTGTGCCCGTGTCCGAGGAGCAGGACAGTGAAATACCAGGAAGTTCTGGACCGGCCGACCCTCTCTGAGGAGGACATCTTACAATCAGCTGCTTACTGAGAAACTCTTGGGTGGTATCTGCCTCCCAGGGCAGCAGCCACCTGCAGTAGGTAAGGTGTATGAGGTCATGGTGAACGCTCTACATAAGGCTAGCGTTCCCTTTCACAGACATTAGGCTAAAACAAAGATTAGACCAGGCTGGAGAGAGTGTGTGTGCTGAAGCACGCCAGGCCTCCGAGGAGCGGGCGCTGGCGGGGAGACCTAGCACTAACCCTAGACACGGCCCTGTGTTGGAGCGTAAAAGGGCCACAAATGCATTGTTTCTCGCTTCAGAGTAATACAGAGCTGCACGACGTTTCTCTGCCTCTGAAATAGAAAATCACTCATAGAAGAGTTGATGCTGAACTGTCCAACAACTGTTGATGTTTACGTCTGTAATCAGTTCTTCTGCGTTTGAGCCGTGAGGGGGCAGGAACTTCATTTGAGGGGGCAATGCCCCCTCTTGCCCACCGTAGAGCCGGTGTTCCGACATCCGTGCTACTCGATTTGTGCTACTGTGGGGAAATGTGCACGTGCAGACCGATCGCTACGCCACAGGCTGTTTACCTGAAGAGAGGCACTACCTCCGGAAGTTCTCACATTACTGTTTGTTGTATGTTTACCTCACAGTTAGCTTGTAAAGCATCGTTATTATACTGTAAACAACAAGTGTCTCCCACTGTTTCAATTCAATTCACTTTATTAATCCCAGAGGGAAATTAGAGTTTCAGTACACACAGTTCAGAGATCAGACAGACAGACGTAGACACAAGACAAGAATTGGTGACTGTGGTCATTCGCATCCCGAGGCGCGCTACCGTTATAGATCAAGCGGGTTTATATGAGGATAAAGTCGGGGGGAAGGGAACCGTCATTCTCGATCTCACGACAAACACGGTATATTCTTGCTAATAATTATACTACAGTTCTGTATTTCTGAGTAATTCCACCTATTTAAAATGAACCGTGCTTAATAAGCACCATCGGTGATGAATAGTCGGAACACCGGTGTTCCGCCTGGAAGAACATCTGGGTTTCTGTTTGTTTGTACAAATGATGGCCCCCTCCATGGTGGCCTCATGGAGGGGGCTGTCGGCTAGCACACTGCTGCTAACCACTTAAACATTCTCTCTCTCCTGATAATAACTTTTTACTCTCTTTGACGTTGGATGTGCTACTACTAGTTTACCCGTTTAATTATAGATCCACTAGGATAAATACAATAAAGTTTATCTCTCACCTAATAGAATATTTACTAAGACATCACATTATAACTATAGACACATTGCTTGGTGTGTGTGTGTGTGTGTGTGGGTGCGTGCGTGCGTGCGTGTGTGTGTGTGTGTGTGTGTGTGCGTGCGCGCCTGTTCTGTCTTCTCCATCCCCAGTGAGTCGTGGAGGATGGCTGCTTATACTGAGCCAGGATTCTCTGGAGGTTTCTTCCTGTTAAAAGGGAGTTTTCCTCTCCACTGTCGCTGCATGCTTGCTCAGTATGAGGATTGCTGTAAAGACTCTGACACTAGTCAGTGACTCGATGCGACCTGCTGGGTTCCTTATATAGGAAACTTTTTACAGATTGGCTTAATGACCTGTACTGGAATGTCATGTGAAGGTCCTTGAGACGACTCTGGTCGTGACTTGGAGCTCTTTAAATAAACTTGAAATGAATTGAATTGTAAAAGCAAAACCAAACAACAGACTAGGTGAGTGGGGGACTCGTCTGATAAATCCTCTGTCAGGCTCGGGTTTAAGCACATCTTCCTCTGTTTAGAATCTGATGTTGAGCAGCTGCAACAGCGCCCCCTGTGGCCACCAGCAGTAATTACGAGCACAGTAAATGCCGGTGCAAATGTTTAGTTTCAGGACAGAATGTGGAGATTCCTGTCTTGTCATCCATCAGGTAGCAGAGCAGCTGATCAACCCGTTTGGAGAAGACGACGATGACTTTGAGGCCAACTGGATCATCGACAGGAACCTTCAGGTCAGCAGTGACGTCGCTCCAGACGCAGATGCAGAGTTTCAGCTCAAGTCTCCTGATTTGTTCAGGATTGTGAAGGACAGATCTACAGCATCAGAGAAGTGGAGCATGTTCTCCTCCTCACAGATTCATCTGCATGTTTTAGGGACGTGAATATTCCAGATCTTCAGACTCATTCATGTTTATATTTACTCTGATCGTCTTTTTGAACTTTTAATGGTTTTTTTGAGCAGCAACGAGGAAAATCTCTGACCGTTTGCGGCCATGAAGCTTGAGAAATCACTCGAAATGCTTTGATTGCGGCCACTTCCTGTTTACCTGCCTTCCAGGTGTCTCTGCTAGCGGTGGATGAGATGCACATGACCCTGCCTCACATGACCAAGGACATGTACTGGAACGACAGCGACGCGCGCCCGCCGTACACGCTCGCTGCTGCGGACTACTGCATCCCCTCCTTCCTCGGCTCTACCACCGACATGGGGTCAAGCTTCAGATCTTACTGAACATGTTGATGAGTCAAATCTTAATGTTACCCGGTTGTCATGGCAACGGCTATCACTCAGTTCTGTTTTAAAGACTTATTATCTAACTGATATGTTGCAGCCATCGTCTTCTAGGAGGAGCACTTTTGAACTTTGTTGTGAGGAGAAAACCACATTCACTGGCCACTTTATTAGGGACACCTTGCTAGGATCAGGTCCGACCCTCTTTTACCTTCAGAGCTTCCTTCACTGGTGTCACAGCTCCACCAAGCTGTTGTAAACCTCGCTCAGAGGTTCTGGTCCATCTTGACCAAACAGCATCAGCTCCTTCCAGGAGGAGAACCTCCCCTTTCACCACATTTCAAAAGATCTGGACTGGACTGAGATCTGGTGACTGTGGAGATCATTGGAGTCCAGTAAAGGTTGGGATTAGGCTGCAGCAGAAATCCAGACTCATCAGACCAGGAAAGGGATTTCCAGTCGCTCCTGCTCCAGTCCAGGTGATGGCTGACAGGAGAGACTCCTGTTGTGGTCTTCTGCTGCTGGAGTCCACCTGGAACAGCCAGTGGGGTTCTGCCAACCTCAGTAGGAACCAGTCTGACCTTTGACCCTAGAGATGGTTGTGGGTTTTAATCCCAGTAGGTCAGACCAGTGTGGTACCAAAAACCACCCAGAACCCTTAGATCTCATTTCTTCTCCAACCTGATGCTCAGGTTGGTCTTCAGCAGGTCGTCTGATGCTGTCTGATTAGAAGTTAACCAGCAGATGGAAAGGTGTACCTAATAAAGTGGCCTGTGAGTGTGTGTGGTCCTGTAACGCCGTGTGTGTGACATCCTCTTTGCAGACTTTCTGACATCCTGCAGTTTGATGAAGACGATGTTTCCGACAGCCGTCCACACAGGAAGGACTCCGTTTTGGCTCAACGCCAGGAGTCGGTAAAACCTTCATGCTTTCCCGTTTCGGATGAACGTGTTATTTTTGGATTCGAGTCACTGGTTGCAGACCGGCGTATGCTGACCTTTGCTTCAGGTTTTGGGTCGAGTCCAGCGGTTGTTCAGCGTTCAGGAGCCTCCAGATCTCAAACACCCTCGTCCTCTTTTCAAGCGACACAGCAGCGACGCCACCAGCAGCTTCTTCCCAGACTTCAGGTAACGATGGAACCCCTCCACACCTGGCCAGCAGGTGTCTCCAGACCCACAGACAAAACTATCCTCTGATTAGAAGTGGTACTCTTTGTTCTAATTGATTTAAATCCACCCAGGACCAATCAGGTTCCAGTAAACATGGCTCCACCCTCTTCCCTGGTTGTCCCGCCTCCATCCATGGACACCCTGTCCACCTTACGGGAGGTCAGCAGTAACCCACCGTCTCCTGAGAGCTCGTCCTCTGTTGTTTTCCCCCAACTGGTCGTCAGCCCGCCACTGCTTAGTGACGTCGGCCACAATTGGAATTCCTGTGGGAACCATCAGAACGGAATAAGCCCCTCCCCCTCAGAAGAGGCTCCGAGCTGGGAAAGCCCAAGGTTGGTTGGTTTGCTGCTTTCTCCAAATTTGAATTGAGATTCCTTTTAAAGAAGCATAAAAACAACCCAAGTCCTTCTAAACTTGTTTGGTCCTGTTCTTCTGGTCCTCAGTGTTCCCACAGCTGGATCCGGCTGCTGTTCCCCGACCCAGCTGGGACCCAAAGAGTTTCGCTGGACAGCGCTCAGCGTCAGGAATCGTCCACAAACCCGACCAAGAGGACGTCAGTTTTCACTTCAGTTTTCCAGACAGACTTCCAAGGCCTCAGTCCGCAGCCTGCCGAGTCCCAACGCCCTGGGGCGACGGAGAAAAGCTCTGGGTCGACACCAGTCCCGGCGGTCACCTAGCCCGACCCCCAACACGCTGCAGCTCCCAGAAGCGGACTACGATCACGACTTCCAAGGAACGGCTGAAAGTGAAGACGATGAGAAGGAAGAACGTAACCAGGATGAAGAAACAAGATGAAACCCAAACAGGGAAGATCCAACAGAAGAACGGTCACGTGTGGATCGGTCCGACTCGGGAGGTTAGACCCAGTGACGGGATAGAAAACCGCTTCATGAAGGCGCTGCATTCAGACATTTTAATGGAATTAAATCATGTTGATACGTTTGTTTTTTTAATCTCAAAGAAAAAAAGACATTTTGATCCAAAGAGGGAACGTACCGAGTCACGCTGGAACCAGAACGCTGACCCGCTACGCCTCACATGGGGATTTTTCACTTTTCTGTGTTCAATAATCAAACCTTTCCAGCTAAACTTGATGGATGTTTATTATTCAACGGGATGTTTGGCGCGGGCGAAGCCCACTCGGTGCTGTCCTTTATCAAAGATGCTGTAGTACTCGGTCAGAAATACATCTCCCAGAATCCACAGGGGGCCTTCGGCGGTGACAATGTCCACGGCTTCAAAGCCACTGAAACACAGCTCCCGGCCGCCGAAAAGCTCCTGCAGGTCAGAACAGCAGAATCAGCATCACAGGCTTTCCTAGTCCCTGGTGAACACCGGATCAGCGGCTGCTTCCATGTTTGTGGAATTTCTGCTGCACCACAAGTGGATAAGATCATTAGATGCTGTTGCTCCCGAACCTGCAGCCATATGTAGCTCACGGTGGGAGAGAGAGCGCCACCGTTAGCTCAGCCGTCTCACTAGCCTCTTTTATAAGACAGACCATCGCGTCGTTACAGGGTGATGAATCTGAATTTGTGGGTCTCGTGGACGCGGCGAGGAGCAAAGGTTGGTTTATGCTTGACGCTTCCGCGCGGCTCCGCGCGGAGAAGTTGCGTCATTTTGCATCATTTTAACAACCACGCCCCTCCACCGCGCCTCCGCACGGCCCAGAATTTCCGCAACGCGCACCTCGGAAAATTTCTAACCACGCGGACGGACGGACGCGGAAAAACATGGCGGACCGGCAAGAACTAGTACGGCAGAGGTTCGTAAATACAGACATTTGTATGATTCAGCTCTCAGAGATCACCGTGATCAACAAGTTGTTAATAATTCTTGGAGAGAAATAGCTCGCACTGTCGGAAAAGACGAGAACGCTGTTAAAAATGCTGGAATGCCATGTTGTAAACAGTAATTTCTACTTCTACTATGGTGTAGTGTTGGATGCATGCTGTAGAGCTCCATGCTGCCCCCTACAGTTTGGGAGAATATTGGCTCACCGCAGAGACGAGCCGCATGAACCATAAACGCTGCGAGTTGTGAAGCGCGTTCCATCCGCGAGCCGCATCACCAAGCGGAAAGTAAATGCGTCAAGCATAAACCAAGCTTAAGCCTCCTAGTAATATCGCTGCGTGAGCCCCTCGCCATGACGGCTAAACGCGTGTCAGCCCCGCTAATCCCTTTGGAGCGAAAGAGGGTGGTCGCGTTGGTGACGTATGCTGCGCGCCGAGTGCCGGCCGGAAGCGATGTAAACACAGATAAACATGGCCTCTCACTACTATCTTTCAGCCACCTACAACAGGGCAAACTGGACGGACGCGGAGACCATGGAGCTGTTGGCTGTGCGAGCGGACGAACAGATTAGTCGCCTTTTTACGGGGGCGGGGAGAGACAGCCAGCTGTTCGACAGAGTGGTGGCGCACCGGCTGAGCGGGGCGTCAAGCGGGACAAAAAGCAGGTCACATCAAAGCTAAAGGCCCTGAAAAAGGAAATTCATCCTTCTGACGCTGAATGCGCGACCCCCTACGTCACATGCGGGGGGGCCGCCCAGCGACCTCCCTATATCCCGTCCTGGTTGGAGAGGTGCCTGATGGCGGTTTATTCTAGCTTCAGCTTTGCTGCTATAAATGCCAAAACCCTCCCCAGGGTGCCGCGGCGAGTCCCGTGTTGCAAACGCTAAAAACGGCTAGAGATAACAGCGCGGTTCAGGAAGTAGACTTCTGTCTTCATTCTGACACTAAAATGAAACAAAAGATTTAAAAGTGAGTCCCTGCAGTCAACTACACCCTCTGTGGAAACTGCTAAAAGGTCCCTTTTCTGCTGAATACTCAGATTAAAACGGGCTGAAGCTGCCAGGAGCCGGTGTTGCATCAGGGCACCGGACCAGTCAGAGGAGCACATCTGCTGGCATGCTGTCACTGGGATTAGGCTGCAGGGTGGGATTACAGCTACGCCGGCCTGACATACCTGGCCTGTCAGACTGCCGTAGCTGTAATATGGGTACGCCGCTCTGACTAGGGATGGCGCTTCGTCAGCGCCGGCTTTAGGGGGCTCAAGGGCCACATGTGGCCCCAGAGCCAGACGTTGATTGTGCGATTCCTCACGTGAACAATAAAGCTTCTCACCTTCCTGACATACTGCTCCGAGGTCAGCGTGTACTCCACCCCCCCCAGGTCAAAGGTCACATGAGGCAAACTGGACAATCGTCCACAGTCGATCAGAAACTGGAACAAAAGCAGACACAGAAGAAAAGCTGGTTTCAGAGCCTTCGTGCCCTTGAGCCTGACCCACAACATGCTGCCAGCCTGGGGATTAGCACCATAGGCTAGCTCAGTGCTGCTTGGGTCGTTCTTCAAAGCGAAACTCCCGTAGCACCAGTTACCATCGTGTTATGGTCCCATCTGCTCTCGCTTACAGGAAAATATTCACAATTACTTTTCACGTTTATTTGGTTCTTCAAGAACATCTAAGAACCCGACTGGCTTCACGCCCTACGGCGTGGTCCTCACCCGGCCTGTGGGAACCACGGCTTGTTCCTCACCTCACCAAGGCTTGTGGGCGTGGCTCCAATCAGCTGCTGCAGACTGAGGATGTCATTGGTCGGTCCAGCAATTAGGGAGGTTCCAGTATCAACGATCGCCTGGCATCCACGAGGACAAAACGAGCTGACACCCTGCACCGCCACGCTGACACGCACACACACACACACACACACACACACACACACACACACACACACACACACACACACACACACACACTTTAACTCACGTCCCACTACTCCACTGAGCGTTTCTCACACTCGGAGCCGTTACCTCTCCATCTTGATCTGCCAGTAGCCCTTGGCCGTAACGGGCACCCAGTTGATGGGTCCGGTGTAGAAAGCTTCGTCTTTCCCGCCCAGCAGCAGCTCTCCTTCTGGACTGCTGGTGCTGGTTCTCCTGCAGAAATCAAA